TCGTCGCTCTCACCCGTGACCTTAAACAAGTAAATTCCCATTGCACAAACGTATGTGCCCAACGCCCGATCCGGATCAGTGACGTACATGCAAACGCGCGCGCGCACACACAATGCGTGAGAGGTTAGTTGGCAAACTGTTCCTGACTCATTCGATTGTAAAATCGCCTTGATAAAGGTTACCCACGATAACCGAAACGTCGGCTTATTTTCACCTGTACCGATATCGCTGTGTTTTCAAAATTACAAATTATATAAAACATGTCACATGGCGCATCGATTTTTCGATACACTCCGAACTGACACTCTGCAACTTGATAACCTTCGTTTTCCGAAAAGATATTACTTTTTTCACTTATGCGACAAGTGTGGATGCTCTTTTCTTTGTTCAACCTGTTTTTGTACGCACTTTAATTCTTTGCGATTTTCCGTTTTGCTCAGCCTTTGGCGATGCAGCTGCTCCTAATAGTACGTGCTGTCGGTTGCACACAAACAGTCGGTCGACTTGTTCTGGACTCGACCACATCCGTGCCCGACGCTTTGACTGTGACCCAAGTGTTTCTTCTGATCGCACAATGGCTGGGCCAGGTTTGGGCCGGTCACAACGAATCGGAACTGTTCTCTGGGTTACGTCTACTTCGCCTCAGTGTGGACACAAATTCGCCTGAGATTAACGAAGCTGCACATCGGCTCTGGTGTTCTCTCACAGACGAACAACGCGCCCAAGCCCCCATCCGATTCGAGGCTCCGTTTTATTGTCCCTTTGTGGTGAGTTTAACTTCTTTAGCGCTGTCCAAACGCCCCTTCGCACGTATCCTTTTTCTTTGGCTATCTACAGACGCGCAATGTGCTGCCTGGGCAGATTAGAACCATATTGTTATTCATGATGTGATTTGGCACGCCCATGTAGTTTGTTTCAATAGCGATCTACCGGAGATCAAGTTGTACTTATCAGTCCATGAGTTATTTTCCTATCTTGACATCGAATATCAGTTTTTTCCGAAACTATTACGCGGAGTTTACCTCTAAGCATTGTTGTATTGTATTGTGTATAACTTTTGCAAGCACTGGAGCTCACATTTCAATTAAAAAGTCATACACGCTAACCGTCGCAATGTATATAGCAAACTATGAGAAGATTTTCACAGACATGAGGATGTTTCATAAACCAATGTTAAAACAAAGTTCACTTATTGTCCGCTCTTTGTTTATGAGTACACAAGCAAGATACGGTATAGTTGAATTGCAGTAAGCGCTAATTCGAGATGAAATTGGGCAGAATTGGGAGCGTGTTGAAAGATGGGAATCACATCGTGTCAGTTCTGCGTGCAATGGGTGGTCAGGATCTGTGAGAATCTTCTCAGCAAATTTCACACAAGTTACATGATACTCTGAAAGCTTTACAGCTAACTCATTCACAGAAATAGAAGAGAAACAATTAATAATGGTTAGACTGCTGCATAAGACTTTAAAATCCTGTTTGAGTAAGCCATGAAAAATGACTGGGGAACAGTAGAGTAAGATTTGAAATAATAGGTGTCGCAGTTTACCAATGCACGTGTGGATGTGGGTTGACCAACGAAGATCGCTATCTATGGTTACAGCAAGATATTTGACAGAGTTCACCTTGGATAAAGGATTGTTATTAATCACTGTGGGGTCTGTCGGATATGGGGAGCGAGAAAAACTAAATAAACACTCAACACATTTACTAGGGTTCAGGGTTAGCCCCGATGAGGAGGAGAACGACTGAATTTGATCAAGATTATTGGTGAAAGAACTTAGATCAGAGTAAGAAGAAATGAGTTGGCACAACACGACATCATCTGCATATTTCAAAATTCGTGTGGGAGAAACACGGAATATCACAAATATAAGTGGAAAATAAGTATGGGGGTAGCACAGCTCCTTTAAGAACCCCGGAGTTGTTGATTAAGGGTTTCGATGTAGCCTTCCCCAATCTAGTGGTTTGTACTCTAAAATAGTTGGATTGCCAAGCTAAAAACTGCTTGGGGCATTCAAACGATTCCAGTTTTTGTAACAACCTAGATCTAGGAATGGAATCAAATGCCGAAGAGTAGTCCAGAAAAACACCGAACAGACTTAACAGGGCTGTTCAAAGACTCAGTGATAAAATGAATGAGAGTGGAGACTGCGTCCAAGGTGGATTTATTAGGTTTGTAGGCAAACTGTAACGGATCACTGGGAATGTTTATAGACCGCTGAAGGCTGAAGGGGATAGTGGAAAAATTAAGAGATTCATTGACAATGGAGGTAATTGCTCCATCTAGGGAAGCAGCACCGGTTTCATCATCTTGGTGACCAGATGAGCTACTCAGAGGGGCTTTTTCAAGCCCAAACATCTCGTGTGTGTTAGGTCGGAGGGTTTGAGATCAGACAAACCCCAGTTTCCCGATCGCCCAGTTTTTTCGTATTGACTTGAATGGACGTCTCCTTAAATAAAAATCGATACATAAATAGTTGACCCATTGCCGTGCTGTAAGGTGCTTGCCAAAAAGCAAGAGCCTCACTCGTTCTGTTGCCTACTGATGAGACTTTTTCACAGCATTCGCTCCTCAAATACTAGCAATGATGATTTTCGGGAATCACATTTATCCAACCCCCTTTCGTTTCATTGGTTCTACGTAGTGTCTGGTGAAAGTATTTCATAACTGCGAGCTAAACTAATTGGCAACCATTCTTTTATCACTTCTATTATTTAGTGCGTTTTAACATACAACAGACATCATTTTCCTACTGCTTCTATGCCACTGTTTCTTAATTTTCTCCTTCGTTCATCGGGAGCTTTGTCTTTCACTTAACATTAGCAATCTGGGATTCGCGCAAGCGCAGGTCGATGTCCATGCGGTTCATTTCAGCAGCATCAAAAACAACCAGCTGCCACAAGTCGTCCCTCCCACTATGGGTATCCCACACAACCAACACCTTACGGGACGCCTTCCCAATTACAACCTATGGCTGCACCTGCTCACGCACCGTTACCTTTGTTCTCTTCGCCATCCGGCCCGATGCCACCACCGGCACCACCATCGGGTCCGCATCATGCAGCTGGTATTCTACAACCCGGAACGGTTCAACCCATTCCACCGGGTCAGTCCGTTTCGGCCGTCGGTACACCTCCGTTACCCCCGTGAGTATCATTTATCATTGCCCCATCCGATGACTAATCCTAACCATCATATGGTCACAATGAGTACTTTTCGTTTTATCGTTATCGGTAATGTAATTAGTGAGCATTTTGTTTCCTTTTGTACAACCTTCAACTCTGCGATATCGCTGCTCAGTTCTGTTCACTGTCTTCTCTGACCTAACCAACCGATAAAAATAACACCTCAGAAGTGCGCCACCTGACTGTCTCACTCTCACGATGTTGGCTTGCTTCCATCTTACTTAGTTTGCAGTAATCTTTCCGTATCTTTACCCATCCATAAATAACAACCAGATCGTGCTTTGGCGTTTTGTGGTGAACTTTTATCGGATGAGCCACAACGAATGGGTGTACTTCATCTCGTTCGTGAGTGAATGGCCCATAAATGAAGTTCAGGCACAGTTCATGGCTGGTAGTGCCCAGCTCTGGCGGTAGGTAAAAAATGGGCGTTCCTTCGCTTGTGATCAGTGATGTGGATAATCATTAACTCGTTGAGTTAGCCTAGATGGAAGTACTTCACCGAGCGGAGAAAAGCTGCCAGCTGAACGCAAAAAGTCTGGTACGTAGGATTAGAAGGGCATGATTCTAGAAGTGCCTGAACTCCACCATACAGCTACCACCTGAGAAATCTTGGCAGTCCCGGTCCACTTTTACCTACTTCATCAAGTTAATGGGCTCATCCCGAAAAGCTTATTGACGACTAGCTCGCTAGAGGTCATTAAACATCATCCTGGAGTGCATGCCCCCCTACCTTGTGGATTAGACTACTGATGCGGAAGCTCCGGTTAGAGCTCCCAAAATGGCGAATTGTCTTGCCTAAGACCAACACGTCGATGTAAGATGTCCTTCATGTCGACATTATGATCACAATCTTGCTGTTCTTATTGTAATATAGCGGGCCAAAATGGCCTAAGATCAGAAGGTGACAGCAGAGATGCGATCGAAATGTCAGTGCACAACATATCTCAGTCAATCACTATTTCAACCTCTTCATCCGTTTTTGCGCACCCCTAAATCTCCGGCACACGTTTGGGGTAAGTAGCTGCCACGGGCACGCAGTGTTCATTGAATTTCGAGACCTAATTCCTAATTTCCCATTCACGGTGGACGGTGCGTCGCGTCGTTCAATTCTTCGTTTGCCTGGTTATTCAGCTGCTGACACCCGTCATCCTAACGGCACCGGAATCGTGGTCAATGTCAGAGTTGAGCTCTCACTTCTCCTCTGGATCACAGTTAGTGGTTCATTTACTCGGTGCATGTTCTTCTAGTCCTTATATCCACTGACCAAGAACAACTTCAAAATGAAATGCAAACGCAGCAACTATTCGCTCTGGTCGATTTAAGGCATATGCTAAACAGCTATCACAATAGTAGACCTTTGACTAAGTTACTTTTAAAACAGCTATTTCTGATGCATTTCATAATCTGGCATACCGCTCAAACAAGGCAGAAATATGAAGACCGGGATTCGTTTCTCGCTAGCACCCGCTTTTCACTCGAAAATCGGCACTCCCTACTATCTCAGTGTTAGCTCTAGAAAAATCAAACCTTATTATCGACCATTGCCACTCCTGATGTAGGTTTGGCGACATTACCCTCAATCTGTTAGGAGCGGCATCCTACTTGTATCTAGTACCAAATCACCTTATGCACACAGTTCACTCTCTATGCCATGTCTGTCCGGTCGCGACCTTATTCAGTTCACCACTCCAAACATCATCTGTTCCCCCGGACTATTATCTAAATCCCTTCCACTGTTCGTCACACAATCGGACACTAAACTGTAGGCAATTAGGTTTACTATCAGAATTATACGCAAGTACACGCCTGTGAATTAGACCAGCTACTGATCAAAGTGCTGAACATTCGTTCGCGATGAAACAAGTCATCCACGAATATATCCATATATACAGGTGTACCAATTTAACGTAGAAGCATCGCACAAATGATGGATTCCCTGTTTCATGTGGCACGCTAATTTTGCATACATCACCTCCTTAATAATTTGCGTTTTTACTTGGAACGAACCAACTAGAATACATCTTCACGCGCATTGCTCAGTTCACTGGAACAGCCCTACTGTCGGGAAGCACCGTAAGCATCTTTGACTACTGTTAGAACTCATCAGAAACACATTATACTACTCATAAGTAACCAATTTGTTAATAAAACTAAATCTAGTCTAACAGGTTCAGTCGTGAAATTTTCGAATGCAGATAACAAGTTACCTTCTCTATCTTCCTTCGAAGCTGTCGCGGTAACAACTGACTATATTTGAAGAAATCTGACCAAACTTAACCAGCTAATTCTAGTTTAATTCCCTCTGAACTGTTTGAAAGCATAGCCCATCCGCCTATCGTCTGTTCGAACCCCACCATAGTCTTCTTACCTGGCTTTGTTCTGTGGTCTCTTTGTGAATATCGATTGTACCTTCAAGGTACATAAGTATAGGCCAGCGGATACGCACCAGTGGGGAGGTCTAAGAGGAGCGAATCTCCAGTCTATTGCCTTCTGGGTTGACCGGATGATCAATTAAAGTCAATACGTCCGAGATATATTCGCCATAGGGCTGGGAGACAGACATACGTGTGGCGATTCAGATAAATGGTGAAGCTCGTAATATCTTCCATTTTATGGGCAGCATGTTTCCTCTTAACTTAAATGTAAGTAAGAACAGAATCCGAGCTCACGCCGAATTCAGCAGTATCTGCTGGAACGGACATTTTCAACTAAAACAAATCTTCCATTCCGTTTAGAGTGAATGGGTGATAATTGACAATCTTATTGTAACGACAGAGGAGGTGTTCTTAACACCATCACATCAAAATTTCTGGATGGAATCATACTCTTGCAATCGTCCACCGCACACAAACCTTGCATGTGTGAAAAACTAGTTTGTTTGGAACTTGGTCAACGTTTCAAGGGCAATATCTTGACCCTATGTTGTTCGTGTTCCATCAGGAACACAAAACTGTACTCAGTGCTGTCGTTTTTGCGAACAGCATTAAACAGCTCTGCAGAACCATTTGTCAGTCATCACAAAGATTTCTATTGCATCTGAAGGGAGTGCGACCTGAAAGCTAGAAAGCACTGTACACCCGTTTCGATCTGGTTGGCCAGTGGATTGGTGATCAGACTGTTTTTCACGTTAATATTGCTCAACCCGTCTTCGCAGGCTTGTTGCATACTCCTCGATGATCTTGCCATTGATTCGAATGTATTCATATCCTGAAACATTTTCTCCAACTGACGTGTTCAAACGTCACTCTCTATTGCCTTCGTTCATCCATACTTGTCTACAAAAGTATGGTCTTGGCGCATTCCCGACTATTGTCCGTTTTGAGACATGCATCCTTGCATTTTCTGTGTCCCAGGAATGCTTGTATTTTTGCTAAATGTCATTTCCTATTTTTCTCTACAAACATCTCTTTCCCATGAATACTTTTTAGGTCCGATTTCCGTTCTTGAGTTGTTGTTTAGGCGACCAAATTGTTTTTATGCACTATACCTTTTGTTTCTGTGTATATTTTTACTTTAACTGCAAGTATGATTGGAAAGTAACAGTGTCTTTATGCTTTTTCCACTTAGTACCATGGGTGGACCAGGTGTTCAGAACGCTGGATATGCGACAACCATGACACGACCCTCACATCCACCATCTATGCCGCCCTCTGCTCGACCACACCGACCGCCAACAGGATTCAATCGTCCTTGGGCTCCGGAATCAGTAAATCAGCTAACCTTACCACCACCACCACCGGTCATGGCAGCTACGGGGTGTGTTTGAGTTGTAAATAGATTTCATTTTTGCGTTCTCTTTTCTTTCATTGAAATTTATCCAGTTGGCACCTGTAACAGTTACTGTTCTCTAGTGAATCGCCAACATTGAAGGATAAAATAACACGATTTCTTTATACCAATTTCCACCACTAAGTGGCTCACTCTATGAGTGTGTGTATGCGTTTGATTCAGCCGGTGCGGAGTTCTCTGTTTCGACTGCCGTGCATCCGAATCTACACCTCATCTAATAATGGGGTAGGTAGATGAGCGGGTGAATGTTGATAATGTCGCCATATTCCTTTCCTTCTTGTTATCCTATATCGGTGGGACAGGTGTTCAGTCGTTGCCACTGGATCCTATGTTTGCCACTGCCACCAAGCGTTGCTGGTAGGCATCTTTGTTGTCATTCGGTTCAATAACATACCTTATGTTCTTTTTCCACTAAAAGTCCTGAAGCTTAAGGTTCCGGTTTCCATCACAGAACTAAACTCCGTCTGCTGTTTACCACACAATTTCGTGTGTAACTAAAAGATGAAATAGCTCAAAATTATCAAAAAGAGCAGTGGAATTTGATTCTCAATCAATTAATTTCCCGACACTTTAACTACCCCCAAGTAGTCCAGCTGAGTGAAATACAGCTGATTTTCCTCCAACCGTTCATTAATGTAATATGTTTAAAAAGATTCAAAACGGCGTGCAGTAAAGAAGCAAAAATTGCTATTCCCAAAGTTGACTGTTTATTTTTGTTTCTCCCCTTTCGTTTTGTGTACTTTGCGTTAAACCCATGGTTATTTTTGCGCCGTATCTGTAAAACTTCGTATTATATATA